CTCAGACCTTGCAACCCAATGGGGTTTGGCTCCTGTGCACAACGGGTCAGCACTGAGCCATGCAGCCACCTGCAGAGGTGCCCTCCTGGTTCTGTTTGGGCAAGGATTTGGGTTTTGTGCTCTGTGACCATCAGCATCACTTTGAGGTCACGGAGCTGCGGCTGTGGGGCAGTCTGGGTGCCTGTGGTGGCTTCTAGAACATTCCCCACCTGCTGCCCTGGCACAGGGGAGGGGTTCAGATGAGCTGGATGTGGCTGGGATGTAATGGATGGGCTTTGTGATAAGCCTGTCCAGTCATCCTAAAATAATAAATAAAATGCATACCGAGGGCTGCTGTGAGATAGGATCAGCAATATTGGGGATGGGGAAAATCACTGCGGCTCTTCAGCAGCAAAATGAAGGGAGCGGAGGGAAGGGGTAGAAGGAGCCATTCGAGAGCATCCGCTCCCAGTTTGGGGTTGGGTCCTTTGGGGTCGAGGGGCTGCAGCCACATCCCTGGGCTGAGGGCTGCCCTGCTCAGCGCTGGGTCTGTGCGCTACCTGAAGGCATTTGGAGGCAGCTCTCATTTGGGCAAGTTCTGTGCCCAGGGTGGCTCCTGTGGCTGCTGTCTGTGGGCTTCTGTTCCTGGTGCTGCTTCTGAGTCACAGCGTGCCCTTGGAAAAGACCTTTGTGCCTCCAGGCTTGCCTGCGTGAGCAAACAGCAGCGCTGGGCTTGAATCACTCCCAAAGCAGCCTCGGTTTGTTTGATGCAGAACTTGTGGGTCTGCTCGTGTCTGGTGGAATATTAATGTCAGTGCATCGAGGAGGACGTTGCACTGGGATAAGAGCATCTTGCTGAGGCTGTAGGTGTGTCTAAAAGGGGATTTAGGAGAAGGTTTTGTGTTTTTGTACGGCAGGCTTCTGTTCCCACTGTCAGGGTTTGTTTATGTCCACAGAGCTGAGTCCTGCACAGTTGGTCAGGGAAGGGTTAATGCCCCGGGATGGAAACAGAGCTTCCTGATGGGAGCTCCTGTGTGATCCCAGAGCACAGCAACGGGGATGGGCAGCACAGGGTCCTGGGAAGGGAACCTGCTTGGTGCTGAGAGCTCTGCAGGGCGAGCTGAGCACGGTGGGGAGATGGGTGGCTGTGAGCAGGGAGGCAAAGAGAAGCCGCCGAGAACTCTGATCCCAATAAAAGGGGGGGAAGAAGCCGCCCTGCAGGCGTTCCTCCCACCCCAGCCATTCGTGGCACATCCTCAGCCCCGTCCTGGGGGCAGCTCCCTCGGTGAGGCTTTGCTGTGAGCATCCCTGGGAGCTCTGCATCCATTCCTGATGCTCATCAGCGGGTGTCTGGGGAGTGCTTTGCAGCGTGCAGGGCTGCAACCGATGCCAGCTCCCATCACTGGCTGCAGCACATTGCAATGACACCGGTGGAGACGCTGCAAAGAAGCACCGGAGGGAGGTAGCAGGGGCAAGCAGGGTTGAAGGGGGGGGTAAAGGGGGGATTTTAAGATGCTTTTAAGACTGAAAACCGTTCTGGCTCCCTGGCAGCAAGCTGGGTGGTGAGCATGGGGCTGAGCCACGCTCCCTTTGCACTCAGCTGCACGCCTCACTGCCTGCACAGCCCCCCCCAAACCCCATCCCCAGCCCTTGCCTGCAGGGAGGGGGATGCTGAGCAGAAAGGAGAGCAGGTTGAACGCAGTCAGCAATTCTCAAAGGGAAAACGAAACTCAAAGCAGAATCTTAATGGTATTTTTTGTTTGTTTGTTTCCTTTTTTTCTTTTCTGTTGTTGTTGTTGTTGTTGTTTTGTTTGTTTTCCCTCGTTTCGTCGCTTTATTTTGTTGTCGTTAGCAGCCCAACTACTGGAGCTTTAAGGTCAGTATTTCTGATTTCTTTGGTCATGCTTTGGTTTGACGTGCATGCACTTCTCCACCTGTGCCTCATCTGTGTCCATGCAGGGGGTGGGAGCTGGGGGGCTGTGCTCAGGGTTGCTGTGCCAAAGAGGTGCATTACTCAGCTTCAGCTCGTGAGAAGGCTCTTATGCTCCAGGTCGAGGTGTTGTGTGGAGGTGAAACTGTTCCCTGAGTGAGAGGAATCCGTGCCTTGCCCTCACTTGGGCCGCAGGCGATCCGTGCTGCTTTGCAGTCGCCTCACTGCTGCAGGGATGAGGGCCGCGTCCCCTTAACAGCAGGAAAAGGACAGAGCAAAGCCCGTTGCGGGTGGATTCTGAGCTCAGCAGGACAGCTGCCTGACTCCCGTGTGCTCTTATGGCTGTTGGTAGGGTGGCTGTGGGTCCCAGGTCAGTCGGTCGGTGCTGAGCGCAGCCGAGGAGCGGCGAGGGATGCGGTGCTCACCAATACCTGCACCCAGCATTGCACAGAGCAGACCCAGCGCCTTGCAGGCCGTCACCCCGTTGCCTGGGGGTGCAGAACGCGTGGCCCAGAGCTGCCTTCCTCCCTCCTCTTCTTCCTCACGGGGCTGCAATGGCAGCGCTTCAAGGCCGGCAGCGTTGCCGGCTGACCTTGGCACGCCGTCTTGGTGGGTCTGCTCTTCCTGTGGATAAAACAGGCGCTGTGCTCGGCTGGCAGCTCCGAGCTGAGGAGTCATCAAACACATAATATGAGCACTTGTTCCCAGTGCTCCTTCCTGAAGTGCTCGCAGTGCAAAACGCGTGCGAGCGGCAGCTCTGTGCACATCCAGCTGTCTGCGTCCTCCCTGCTCTGACATTTCCTGGGCCTGAAGGGGTGGCACAAAAGCTCTGATTTTCATTATTATTTTTTTTTCCCCCTTTCTTTTCTTGTAAGGAATGAAATGGGGATGAGCTCTTAGCGCCAGCTGTCCCGAGAGCAGTTGGGTGTATGCAGGGAGCATTGCTTCACCCAGCAGCGCTTTGCATTGCAGGCAGAGCATCCCATGTGGGACTGTGTGCAGCCAAATCTGCCCGGTGCTCTGCACCTGGAAGCTGCTGACCTGGGGTGTCAAGGGAGCCCTGTGCTAGGCTGATGTGTGGAGCAGATGCTGGAGGCTGCCTCGCGGCCACGTGTGTCCTGGGGTCTCCTGGCTGTGCCCCCCTCCTTGGCCAGGGAGCCACCATCCTACGGGAAAGAGCCACAAAGGGTCCCAGGTAGGACCTGCTCCCCTCACCCCTGTGTCCCTGCTGCGTCCCCCCTTTCACCCACAGGCAGCTGCTGGCTGCAGATTTGGGGCTCTCCAGGTGTGGGCTTTGGTTTGCCACGCTCAGGATGGAGATGAGGAGATGCTCCTGGTCTCACTGTGGAGAGGGTCTGTCCCCAGCCATAGGGTCTTCTGCACCCCATTGTGTGTCTGCCCTCTAAATCAGCCCCAGTGCATCCCTGAGCCCTCTGCCCTGGCATCTCATTGACTTATCTGCCAGTCCCTGAGCCCCCCTGCCACGTGTTTTGTCAGCACCCACAACCAGAGCGATCCCCGTTGCATTTTTGGGTTGTTCAGGACCCTCCTCCTGGGATCTGCAGGCTGGGATGGCTCCCAGAGCCCAGCCCTGCTGCTGACTGGTGTAGATTGAGGGTACCTGTGTGTGTGTGAGCACAGCCCCCTGCAATTCCTCGTCCCCTTCTCTCCCATCCCCTTCTTGCTGCTTTCTCCTGCCCAGCTTTCCTTCTGCTCCCCGGCAGCCCTGAAGGATGCAGTAATTTGCTTATTTTTGGAAGATGCTGTCACACGAGGCAGCACCACCATTGAGCAGAGGATTGGATGCAGGGGGGAGTGGGGGGGGAAAGTGGGGTAAAACAGCCCTGAGGAGGCAGGATGCTGCCCTCACCCCAAATCCATCTCCTGTCGCCCATCCCCAGCACAACCCCATCCGCAGGCACAGCTCAGAAGGATGGATCACACTCATCTCTGCTGTTTTCCCGTTGCTTTTCTCCTGGATGAGCCTCTTTCAGGCTTGGGAGGAATAAGCTCAGGAAAAGCAGCCAGGCTTCCTCTGTAGGGTGGCTGTGCTTATCCTTCCCGTGGGATGGGAGTCACCCCCAGCACCAGGAGGTGGGGTGTCCCTGTCCCAGCTCTGCCTGTGCTGGGTTGGCACAGCTCTCCGGGGTTCCTTAGGAGCACCTGCTGCTCCATCCCACCCTATTGGGCAGCAAGCAGCAGTTTGGGGAGGTGATGCTGTGGGGGAACCCCACTCCATCCCGTGCACATCTGGCGGCTGCGCACATCTGGCGGGACGGCCCCTTCCTTTAGTCAAGGGGTCTGGTTTAAAAGGCTAATCCGATTGGGACACTAATCCTGTTAACATTGAGATCGGGATTAATGCTGGGTTAATCGGGATAATCCTGACAAAATGGTGAGCATTAGGCGCTGGGTGAATTATTGCTGTGCCGTGAGCAGGGGCGCTTTTGGTTCGGGGGTGAGATGCAGGTGGGGTGGGAGGGATGGCCATGCAGGGAACCCCATAGGTGGGTGCACCCTGACCGCCTTTGCTTTGCGCTCAGAGCACCCGGAGCAGCACCCTGGCCCTGTGGTTTCATCCACCTTTGGTGCTCAGCCCCACTTTTCCTCCAGTTCTCACTCCTTTTTTTTTCCACTCTTGTGCACCTTCAGGAGGTTCACAATCCCCCGCTGGATTGATTCGTGCTGAGCTTCAGTGCTCTGGGCTGCGCCGGAGCAGCGCACGAGGCTCAGTGTGGCCATTGGTGTGCAGGGAGCTGGGGGTGCAGGAGGGGCTGCTGCAGTGTGTGCTGCCCCCAGGATGCTCCCCGAGGGCTGTGCAGCCACAGGAGCCCGCAGGGGCCGTGTCCCATTACCTGGGCTCTGCCAGCAGACCGTGCCACCTTCCACTCCTGACCCATCAATAATGAAGGATGAGCAGGGTTCGTTAGCAATGAATGAATGAAGCGCTCTGTGACGCAGCGCATCGGTTTCGTCTTTCCTTCTTCTGTTTGCAGATGGGTGGGAGCTGCTCAGGGCAGCAGCAGCAGCGCTCCCAGTGCTGTGCTTCAGGGCTCCCTGCCCAACCCCAAGCACCCCAGTTGTGAATGCAGGCCGGCCTGGCTGCAGTACAGCAGCAATAGGACGGGACGAGGCAGGCGGCACTGCAGGCAGAACATCCAGAAATCCCCACCCTCCAATTTCTGTTCCTGCTTCAGGAAAAGAAAAAAAAGAAAAAAAAACCTTCAAAATTGCAATTAAATTTTCCTTGGAAGCGTCGACAGCAGCAGAGCTGCGGGAGGCACAGATGTTGTTTTGCTCCCAGCTTTGCTAACAGCTTTGCTTGCTGCTGACCCTCTGTTGGCAGCGTGGGGATGAGCGGCCGCAGCCCTGCATGTCCCAAGGGGTCCCAATCCAAGCTCCGTGTCCCCGTGCCATGGAAGCCCTCCAAGGAGTGCATCACAGGAGGATGAAATGGGGCTCTGAGCGGCACGCTGTGAGCGTTGGGGATTACATGCAGTGTCAATGCGAAGGCTTTTGCAGGTGCGTGGGGTGGAGGGGGCTGTGTCAGCTGGGTTCCTCCATCTCTTTGGTGCTGAGGTCTGCCCTCCTGGGAGCTGAGATGCTCTTGGCAGCTCTGCTCTGTGCACTTTTTGCTTTGCCCATCCCTGGCCTCGCCTGATCAAGGCGGTGCTGCAGCATCGCGGTCTCAGCGCCGCACCTTCAGCTCAGGTGGCCAAAGTGTGGGATTTTAGGGCAGAACTGCAACGCCGTCCCTGAGGGCTGCGCCTGTGGCTGGGGATGGGCCAGAAGATGGAGCATGATGGAGAGCATGAGGAGACCTCAGTCCACATAGGGTCCCACTGCCCCCGTCCTGCCCCCACCCGTGCCTGTGGTGCTCCCCATACCTTCCCATGGCTTGTGCCAACCTGTCCCCCCCTCCCCTCTCCCTGGTTGGGTCCCCTTCCCAGCCCAGCCCCATCCAGCACAGTGCTGAGCTCCGGTCCCTGTCCTGAGAACGAAGTGCTCCACCAGATGGGACTGCACTCAGATGCAGGATTAAGTACTGAGAAGGGGATTACAGGGAGTTAATCCAGATCCGTGTCCAACCAGGGGCCGCAGCCGGGCTGTGCGCATGCAGTAAATAACCAGTCGTGGTGCTTGGCTCAGGGCTGGGCTCACCAGCTCCATGCCAGCTGCTGCCCAAGCTGGGTTGGATTTCAGAGACCTTCTCCTTTATCCTGAAGCAAAGGAAACGCAGAGGGGCTGGGGAAGCTGGGGGGGACCCCGCCAGGCTCCGTGCCACCGCAGCATCAGCGCGATGCTCACTGAGCCCAGCTCCCCCCAGCACTTTGCAGTGCATTATCCCTGTGAGCGCAGCACGATGTGCTGTGAGCACGGCAGGGCTGGGGGAAGCTGCAGCTCCCCCATGCTGCTGCCCGGCTCCAGCCCAGCCCAGCCTGCAGGGTCCTGGGGAGGGGCTGCGCTCAGGGCTGGATGCTGCCTGCAGCAGTAACACGGCGAGGGCTGATCCCAGCCCACTGCAAGGCCAGGTTGGTGCTGGTGGGGAGGGAAAGGGGGGCTGGGTAGGGCTGGGCTGCAGGTGGTGGTAGGGGGGGGGGGAAGCTGGGAGCTTCATCTCTGTGTTGCAAATGGTGTTCTTCCCATGGCTGAGGCGGGGCACTGATTGTTGGGGGGTCAGCAGAGAGCCGAGTTAAGGTGTGAGGTTGGGGCTGGGGGTTGTGAGCCATGCGTGGGAACGACTCTGGGTGCTCTGCTGTGTCCCTGTGTTTTTCTCAGTTCTTCTTTCAGAAGGGCAGGGTGAAGCCCTTCGCTGCTCCTCTGCCCCAGTTCTGCTCCCTTTCCCTGTTCCCTGCCTCCATCCCAGCTCTCCATCAGTGGGATGGGGGGATGGCTGTGGGTCCAATCGCTGCCCCCACCTCACCCCATCCTCTGACCACAGCTGGAGCCACAGCTGGAACCTGGGAGTGGGGAGGGAGGGGGTGGGAGGAGGAGAGCAGCATCCTTGCCCAGCCAGGCAGATAGAATGGAACTGCCTCAGCGCTGACAGGAAAGGGATTGTTGGAAGTTTTAGAGCTGAAAGAATCACTTAATTGTAGCTTATTTTTAGCTCCGGGGAGATAAAAGACAAAGCCCCCCCCCCAAGTCTCCCCCTTCCCCCATCCCACCTCTTTTACACAAGACACAGAACCAAAAGCAGCACCCAGGATGGGGGGGTGGTCTGTGCCCACTGCTGCAGGAGGGGGGTTGCAGCCACCCTGACCTCAGTGCCCGTCACCACCCCACTCTGTGGGTGCTTTTAGAGCTTCCTTTCCCCACTCTGTGCCCGGAGCTGCAGCGTTACCATCCACCTGTGGCCTTGGGCAGCTTTTGTTTTGCTTTGGGCAGCTTTGTTTTGCTTTGGGCAGCAGCACTCCTCTGCTTTTCATTCACCTTCTGCCCCTGAACTCCTAAGAGCGCAGAGCAGCTCCAGCTGCATTAACCCTGTGCTGCAATTTCAGGCAGAAATGGGTCATCTCCCAGCACGGCATTGCAGGGGCAGCCGGGGGGGCTCCTCCCCCTCCATCCTTCTGCTCGTGGCACCATGGGAAGGGTCTCGATGCCTGGGGTATGGGGAGATGTGGGGCTCCTCGGGGGCAGAGCTGGGGCTAAGCTGCCCCTGGGGGACCCAATGCCTTTGCTCCACGGTGCTGCTGGAGCTGGGGTGCCCTCACCTTGCACCCAGCCTGGGGTCAGGCAGCAGCGGATGCATGGCCACCAGCATCAGCTCCTTCCACAGCACAGCAACAGCATGGAGGTAGATAAGGCCCCTGGGATGAGAGGTGCTCTGTGAGAAGGAGGATATTCCGCTCGTTGCTGTGTGCTTTGATATCTCACTCCTCAGCTGTGTGATACGGTCGGGGGCCAGGAAGGGAATCAGGTTTCCATTCTGGAGTCATTGCTTGGGTTTGATGTCGGGTTTCGATGGATGCTCTGTGCCTGCGCCCTGCACGCAGCCCTGGCAATGCTTGGCCAGGTGAGGTGTCCCCCACAAGGGCTCTGTGGGTGCCCCCTACCCTTCATTGACTCCCAGCAAGGCAGGATTCAACTCCCTTGGGCATCTCCAGACAAGGAGAAGCGTGGCTCTGGATGCTTGTTTGAGCCTTATTACCTGAGAGAGGGATAAGTCATTAGTGAGGCACTGCAATAAAACACAATTCCCCTGAAGTCAGCTCATTAATGGTCCACAGGAGGCCAAGGATGTGGCTGTGGTGCTCTGCAGGTGTCCCAACCCTGCGGGTGCCTCCCCCTTATGTGACAGAAAGGGCAGAGCCCCCCCCCCTCCAGAGCATCAGGGTCTGCTCACCCCTCTTACAGCAGCACAAAGTGGATCGAGGCACCCATTCTGCCCCACTGCCCACTGCAGGGGCAATGCTGGGGTCCTGGGGGTGTGGGGTGGCCAGCATTGGGGGCTGCCATGGGGGGGGCTCTGGGGGTCCTGGGGACGTAGGGGGATGCGTGCCATGGAGGTGCCCTGCAGAGGGGTGTGCTGGGGGCTGTGTAGTGCTGCTGGTCCGTGCTTGGGTTGCTGTCTGAGCACGTGAGGCTGAGCATCAGGCTAATGATCAGAACAGTCCCTTCCGGGCTAAAAATCCATTAATTTTCATCTTGACCTCTTTTTTTCCTTTTTTTTTTTTTGGTGGATGCCACAATGAGCTCCATCAGAGCAGCTTAATTACCTGAGGTCAGCCAAAGCTGTGGGGCAGAGGGCAGGAGGGGTCTGGGTTCACCTGGGGGGAGGGAGGGGGGTGGGCAGCTCTCCCTGCAGAGTGCAGCAGGGCGCAGTGCTGCCATGCTCACACACCACGTCCCATAGCAACAGCGATGCTACATGGCAACAGCAATCCCCACCACCCTGCTGTGCTGAGGATACAGAGAGCCAGAGACCCCCCCACCTCACCCCCGGGGTGACAGAGCACTGGGGATGGGGGTCAGCCCTGAGCCCCCCCATCTTTTGCTGCTGCAGGGCCCCCCCACGTGCAGTGCTGCTTTGCTCTGGCCCCGCTCCCCTCCTGCAGGAAACCTCTCCTAATGGCAGCGTGCAAAGCATCTGTGCTGCCTGCAAGCTCTGCCTTCAAACAGCACCACCAAAACGAAGCAGTCAATTTTCCAGCAATTAGCTACAGCGAGAACATTTCAAGTTCTAGAAAACCCCGCCCCGCAGGATTAATTAAATCCTCCAATTAATGTCTAATTTAAATGACGATGATGGCTGTTATCATTCCGTATTGATTTTTCTTTTGGCTCTTAGAAAAGAGCTGCTGTCCCTTCCACGCCGCCTTTTCCACACCCCGGGAGCTGTTTGTTCTCCTGGGTTCATTTGCCAGCATTAAATGTGTGTCTGGGAAATGGAGCCGTGCTGGGCTGGGCTGAGTGCTGTGCTGGGTGCTGGGTGCTGTGCTGGGTGCTGGGTGCTGTGCTGGGTGCTGCACTGGGTGCTGGGCTGGGCGATGCACTGGGTGCTGTGCTGGGCGATGCACTGGGTGCTGTGCTGGGTGATGCACTGGGAGCTGTGCTGGGTGCTGTGCTGGGTGCTGGGCTGGGTGATGCACTGGATGCTGAGCTGTGCTGGGTGATGCCCTGGGTGCTGGGCTGGGTGATGCACTGGGTGCTGTGCTGGGTGATGCACTGGGTGCTGTGCTGGGTGCTGGGCTGGGTGATGCACTGGGTGCTGGGCTGGGTGATGCACTGGATGCTGAGCTGTGCTGGGTGATGCCCTGGGTGCTGTGCTGGGTGATGCACTGGGTGCTGCACTGGGTGCTGAGCTGAGTGATGCACTGGGTGCTGCACTGGGTGCTGGGCTGGGTGCTGAGCTGGGTGCTGAGCTGGGTGATGGGCTGGGCAATGCACTGGGCGATGCACTGGGTGCTGAGCTGTGAGCTGAGCTGTGCTGGGTGCTGAGTGCTGATCTCAGGGGCTGTCCAATCACTCCTCCCAATGCACTCCTTTTTGCTTAACCCACAGATATCAGCTCACGACACCCGTGTCCGTACCCTCAACTTTTATGCAGAGGAAATACGCTTGGCCGTGTGAAATTGGACTCCTGGCATATTAAATTTTTACTGCTGTAAACCCAAACCCATTACTTTCCCTTTGCTCAGGCAGCCATAAACCTCAGTGCTGCTTTGCTTCTAGGAGAAGCTGGGCATTTATGTATCCCGGGAGCTGGTTCATTGGCGTAATGGATGTGTAACCTCCTGTAATTGCTAAGGTTATTCCTGTGCTCGCGTGCGACTCCTGGCTCTGTAACCAGCCAGCCAGCGCTGGGTTTCTTTGCAGTGGTTTGCTTGGAATGGCTTTGAAATGTGGAAAACACATGTGAGCAGTGCGGGGCTATGGGGTTAGGGGTATGTGGCCATACACGTGGGTGCAGGGCGCGGATGGGTGCTGGGCTCTCACCTTCCTGCTCCCCTTGCAGACCAGGAGCTCCCGGCACTCACAGGGCTCCCAGCCTGGCCTGGCTGATCAAGCCAAGCTCTCCTTCGCCTCGGCTGAATCCCTGGAAACCATGTCGGAAGCAGAGCTGCCCCTGGGCTTCAATAGGATGAACCGGTTTCGGCAGAGCCTGCCTCTGTCCCGCTCCACCAGCCAGACGAAGCTGCGTTCTCCAGGTACTCCAGCACTGCCCCAGCCTTATTGCATCCGTGCACTGAGAAATGCAACCCCTGCCACGGTGCAGCATTGCTGATTGCATCCATGCGTTGGGAAATGCAACCCCACGGTGCAGCATTGCTCATTGCATCCATGCTTTGGGAAATGCAACCCCATGGTGCAGCATTGCTGATTGCATCCATGCTTTGGGAAATGCAACCCCCTGCCCACGGTGCAGCATCACACCAGGACGTGTGAGCCCAGCAGCTGTGGGGATGTTGGCTCAACCCCACTGCTCTCTGCTCGCTTTGCTTCCAGGGGTCCTCTTCCTGCAGTTTGGGGATGAGACGAGGCGTGTGCACATCACCCACGAGATCAGCAGCATGGACACCCTGCACGCCCTCATCGTCCACATGTTCCCCCAGAAGCTCACCATGGGGATGCTGAAGTCTCCCAACACCGCCATCCTCATCAAGGACGAATCCCGCAATGTCTTCTACGAGCTGGAAGATGTCCGGTGAGGGACAGACAGACCTGGGGGGCAGCTCAGGAGCACTCAGACCCAGATTGCTGGCACAGAGCACTGAGCGCATCCATCTCAGGGCCATGCTGATGATGGAAGCCTCTCTGCCGTCCACATCAGTGGGGGTGGGATGACCCCTGCAATGGGAAAGGGTTTCCTTGGTGATGGTGGAGGGCTTCGGGTTGGTGGCAATGCCCTGAAAAGACTCCTTGGCAGGTGGTGCTCATTCAGCTCTGCAGAGCCAAAGCAGCCCCTGCTGCTGCTGTCTTGTGCCTCCTGCCTGGGCACGGCCACCAAACCTTCCCCTGGGACCTCTGACGTTGGTTGGGGCTCTGTGAGCAGCACGGGTGCAGCCCTGTGCGACTGCTGGGACTCTCCTCATGGCTCTGCCTCTCCTTCCAGCGACATCCAGGACAGAAGCATCATTAAAATATACCGAAAAGAGCCGCTCTATGCCTCATTCCCTGCCTCGCACATCACCAATGGTGACCTGAGGGTAAGGGGCTGGGGACCAGGGGGGTGGGCAGCGCCCCGGTGTGGGGCTGGGGTTGGTGCAAGGCAGGAGGGCGATGAGGAGGGCATGGTGATTGCATGTGTTTGTGGGAGGAGTCATGGCTGCCATTCGTCTTCCCCAGTCATGGCATTGTTAAGCGTTGCTTTACAAGAATGGATGTTTGGGGCCTGGCAGCAGGGTGTCATCAATGCAATAATTAGGGGATTCATCACGATGAATCATCCCGCTCTTGAAGGAGAAAGAGGGAGCTGCCATTTGCCAAAGCCAGGGGGTGACACGTGGGCTGCTGGTCCTCAGGGCTGCCACCCCCAAGGCAGGGAGAAGGTGACCGGGCACAGCAGGATGCAGTGCTGACCATCCTTCCTTCTTTCCACAGCGGGAGATGGTTTACACCTCCAGGGAATCCTCTCCCACCCGCCGCCTGAACAACATGTCTCCTGCCCCCCACCTGGCCTCAGGCTCCCCCCCACCCGTCCTGCAGTCCTCGTCCCCCTCCCGCTCCCGCATGTCCTACAGTGGTGGCCGCCCACCCTCCTACGCCGGCAGCCCGGTTCACCACGGCGAGCGCCTGGCCAGCCTTCCCCCAGCACCCGGAGTCTCTCCCAGCCCCAGCGCCATCCTGGAACGTCGCGACGTCAAACCCGACGAGGACCTGGCAGGGAAAAACATGGTGCTGGTGAAGAACGAGGGGCTGTACGCCGATCCCTACGGCATGGTGCACGAGGGGAGGCTCAGCATCACCTCCACGCAGTCTCTGGCCGGCATGGGGGACCCTTTTGGTTACTCGGGGGGGCTGTACAAGCGGGGCTCGGTGCGTTCGCTCAGCACTTACTCGGCGGCCGCGCTGCAGACGGAGCTGGAGGACAGCCTGTACAAACCCAATGCACAGATCTACAGCGATACCTACGGACCCGGCCTGGGTTTCCGCATGCCCCCCTCCTCCCCGCAGAAGATGGTGGAGGGGCAGAGCCCGCACAGCCCTTACTCGGGGCCGCCCAGCCGCTCCTCACCCGTCCGGCAGTCCTTCCGCAAGGATTCCTGCTCCTCTGTCTTCATGGAGAGCCCCGTCAGCAAGCCACGCAACCCCGGTGCTGCAGGACCCCCCGAGCTGTTCCCTGGCCCTGGGGACCGTCCGCTCTCAGGGTTCAGCTCCCCGGTGCCAGCCAAGGACACGGAAACGAGGTGAGAAAGGGCCTTGCTGAGGTTTCCCTGTGGAATTGGGGCTCTGCTGGGTGGGTTGTCCTTGGGTATGACTGGGGAGCGGGGCAAGGTTCCCTATTGCCGGCCCTACAGAAGCACAGGGTCGGGTGGTGAAGTGCTGCCTCTAACCCTAAGGGTGTCACTACTCCTAACCCTCACCCCCTGTCCTCGCAGGGAGAGGATGGAGGCCATGGAGAAGCAGATCGCCAGCCTGACGGGGCTGGTGCAGAGTGCCCTGCTCCGTGGTTCTGAGGCTGAGACCCCCAGGTAAGGAGGTGGGGGGAAGAGGGGGCAGGAATGAGATCCAGGGGGGCTCCTCTGGGCCGCTCCTCTGCTCTCCATGTTCACCCCTTCCTCTCTTTTGTCACAGTGAGAAGACTGAAGCCACCAATGGTGGGACTCCTCCATCAGCATGTAAGTGGCTGGGGAGAGGTTTGGAGATCCCCCCCCTCCAGTGGTCATCCCCACATCCTGGGGCAGTTGTGGGTCCTTGTCGCCAGGGGCCCCATCCCACACTGGGAGCTTCAGGCTCACATTTGTTCCAGGACAGAGTTGGTGGCAGTTCTAGGGACCGAGCAGCAGCACTGCTGGGCTGGGACACAGTGGGGAAGGAGAGGGTTTGTGGGGATCCCTCCCACCCAGGCTGCAGTTCCACGTCCCAGCATCGTCCTCTCGTCTCCCCCACCCCACAGCAACCAGCCGCAGCGGCATGGGGACCCCAGTGCCTGCACCCCCCCCACCCTCTGCCACCAGCACGCCGGCAGGGCAGCCCACAGCCATCACCCGCCTGCACATGCAGCTGCACCTCCACGACCTGCAGCAGAACGCCAGCGACCTCCGCAACCAGCTGCAGCAGCTCAAGAAGCTGCAGGTTGGTACCGTGGGGTCACCCGACCCAACCCCTGGGGGCAGGGAATGCCCCTTTCCCGGTGACCTCGTGCAGGTCAGCCCACCCAGCCTTGCTTTGCCGCCCCCCGCACGCGCCCCCCGCAGCAGAACCAGGAGACGGTGAAGACGATGCTGAGGCGGACGGAGACGGAGATCAGCGTGCGGGTGACGGACACCATGCGCAAACACGAGGACCCGCTGCAGCGCCAGCGCAGCCTGGTGGAGGAGGAGAGGCTGCGGTACCTGAACGAGGAGGAGCTCATCACCCAGCAACTGAAGTGAGCACGGGGTGGGGACCCTGCTGCCCACACCCCCCTCCCTGGTTCGCTTCCTCCCCATCCCTGGTGTCATCGTGGTCCCCGACGCGGCTCTCGTTTTCCCACCTTCCATGGGGACGTGGTGCCAACCCGCCCTGCTTTGTGCTCGCAGTGACCTGGAGAAGTCAGTGGAGAAGATCCAGAAGGATCTGGCGCACAACCACCGCCTCATCCCAGTGCAGGAGCTGGAGGAGAAGGCCGTGGTGCTCAAGCAGCTCGGGGAGACGCTGACAGACCTCAAGGGTGAGCGGGTTGCCATGGGGCTGCATCAGTGCTCCACCAACTACCAGAATCAACACAAGTCCTCCCAGCAGCTTGCTTGTGCTTGGCACTGCTGCCCCTTCCCCATGCTGTCGCCCACCCTGTGCGCACTGCTGTTATTCTGCTGCTCCTGCAGCTTTCTCCATTCCACGTCTCAGTGCAGAGTGGCAGAGCTCCGGATCTGGCAGCAGTCACTGAGGCAGCAAGAGGACACGAGGACAGTGGGGACAAGGGGAGGGCACAGGACAGGGGTGGCAGCAGCTCTGCTCTCCTGCAATGAGATTGCCTGACACTAAGCAAAGGGAGTGAGCTGTTCTGTGTCCCCCCAGCAGCACATCTGTGGGTCCTGGTGACCGAGTGCCCATCTCTAGGGCAGCATTGTGCCCGAGGGCTGCAGTCAGTGCCAATGGGAGGTGGGTTGGTGATGGAATGGCGAGCGCAGGGAGGTGAAGAGGCAGCAGCCCGGGCTCCCTGGGACCCTTCCATCCAGACACGATGGCAGCAGGGCTCTCGGTGACCCCGCTGTCCCCTCAGCCCAGTTCCCCAGCCTGCAGAGCAAGATGCGGGTGGTGCTGCGGGTGGAGGTGGAAGCTGTGAAGTTCCTCAAGGAGGAGCCAAACCGCCTCGACGGGCTGCTGAAACGCTGCAAGACGGTGACTGACACACTCACCCAGATCCGCAGGTGAGCTCTGCACCCGACCCCTGGTGCTGCCCCTGCTCTGTGTCCTCCCCATCGTGGCTTCCCATAGCCGGGTGTCCTGGGCGCACCTCGTGGCGCACGGCCTTTGGGTGCCCCTGTTCTGCTGTCCTGTCTGAGTTGTAGATGAAAATTCCCAGAGCAATTGACAAAAGGTTCCTTTTTCTGCTCAGAAATCAGAAGGAAAAAAAAAAAGAATGGTTAAGAATGGTTGAATAACCCAAAGTGGAACAATCAAGCCCAACCCCAGTGGATTGAATCCCATTCCTAACGCCCCCAGTGCTGCTCAGTGTGCATGTGGGAGCCCCTCTTTGAAAGCAGCTCCTTCCTTATCGCCTTGGAAGAATGTGGCCGCGTATCTGGGTGCGATGGGAGCACTGAACGGGGCCAGAAAACTCATTCTTGAGGAGCAGAGCTGTTGGGGTGGAGGAAACCATCTCCAGAGCTCACCTGCCCGTTCCCATTAGGAGACCTTTCAGCAGAGCTCACTGCTGGGGCAGGCTGTGTTGCTGGGCTCGCCCCGGGCGCTGTTCTAGCCTGGTTTTGTATGGAGATGAGCTCGTCTGATGGTGCAGCACACTGACCTGCCTACCTGTCACTCTCCTCCCCTAATAACTGCTGAGTCCAAAGGGCGATTTTGGGCAGATCTGACAGAGGGGTGGAATTTGGAGAGAGCTGCTTTCCTGCAAGGTTCGTGCACAGGGACGGGCAGGTGGAGGAGCTCGTTGGCACGCGCTGCTGTGGGAGAGCAGACACTGGGGATGCAGATGAACACAGAGCTGCGTGCATTTGTAGAGGGCTCCAAGACGGTGCTGTAACCCAGCGCCAGCACTTATCCCAATGAATGCCTTCCCTCTGTCCCCTGCAGGCAAGTGGATGAGGGCGTGTGGACCCCCCCCAACAACCTCAGCCAATCCCCCAAGAAGATGGCCCCCGAGACAGACTTCAGCAAAGGGCTGGAGCTGGAGATGCCCCCGAGCCCCCCCGTGAGCCTCCACCACCTGACAGCTGGCACTGAACCCCTGGGCATGCCCAGCTTTGGGCACAGCCCCCCCCAGACCCAGAGCCACCCTTCTAAGAGCAATAATCCTTCCCGGGCTCCAGAGATGGTGCCTGCCAAAACCCAGACGGGTCCTGAGACGCCCAGTAAGAAGAGCGCAGACAAAGCTGTGTCTGTGGAGGTAAGAGCCTGGGGGGGGGTGGGGGTCCTGCCTGGGGGGCTCCTCTAATGGCTCTAACCCTACTGGAGCATCCAGCTGAAACTGGGGTGCATCCTCCCTAGTGGGTTTGGAGCTGATGGAGAGTCTTAATAGTGGAAAGCCCCAAATACTGGGGAGACGCAACGTGCAACTGGGACACGAGGGGAAGGGGGGGGGGCTCCAGCACAGCCTGGGACGTCTCAATGCTGAGTTAGAGCAGCACTGGTGTGGGCTTGGCTGTGGGAGATTGTGGGGCAGCGGGATTCAGTGGGGCAATGGGGAGGTGATGGTGGGACAGCGGGGTCACACGTTGCCCATAAGGGCAGGGCTGCAGTGGGCCGTGCTGTCACAGGCTGCTGAGAGGGACTGGGAGGAGAAGCGGGCAGCGCTGACCCAATACAGTGCCAAGGACATCAACCGCCTCCTGGAGGAGACGCAGGCTGAGCTCATGAAGGCCATCCCCGACCTGGAGTTTGCTGCCAAGCACAAGCAGACCACGGGCAGCAGCAGCGCCGCGTCCACGCCGGAGCATAAACCATCCAAGCCTCAGCATGCACAGAAATCCACGGGGAAGGTGGATGCCAATGGCCGCAGAGGCTCAGGTATGGGGAGAGGAAGGGGGCTGCCTCGGGTTTGTGCAGGATTGGGGGCACGGACGGGGGCAAGGCTCGGTGCCAGCTCTGCTTTCTGCTCAGATGAACTGACGGTGCCGCGGTACCGCACCGAGAAACCTTCCAAATCACCGCCTCCACCGCCACCCCGCCGGAGCTTCCCCTCATCCCATGGGCTGACCACCACCCGCAGCGGCGAAGTCATCGTCACCAGCAAGAAGGAGCCTGGCTTTATGAAGGTGGGTGGCGGGGCTGGGCACGTGGTGGTCACCCCATGGTGGTCACCCCGTGGGTGCAGCCCCTCACCGCTCGCTGCCCCACAGAAAGCAGAATCGGAAGAGCTGGAGACCCAGAAGCCACAGGTGAAGCTGAGACGGACGGTGTCAGAGGTGGTGAGACCTGCATCCACCCCACCCATCATCGCCTCTGCCATCAAAGATGACGACGATGAGGACCGCATCATCGCGGAGCTGGAGGTGAGCACAGCAGTGTGGGGGCACGGGAAGCACAGCTCACCCAACTCCAGGCGTCCGCAGGAGCAGCTTTGGGAGAGATCCCCACACAACAGCACAGTGGCTGCCATCCCCATCCTCACCCCATCCGTGGGGACATGGGGACGTGCAACACTGCGGTGACTGTCCCCATCCTGCCCCCGTCCTCATCCCCACCCACGGGGACGTGAGTGGCTGTCCCCATTCTCACCCCATCCCTGGACACATTCAGTACTGCAGTGACTGTCCCCATCCTGTCCCCATCCTCATCCCACCCACGGGGGCATAAAGCACAGTGGGGGCTGTCCCGTCCTCGCTCCATCCATGGTGACGTGGGGACGGCATGATGCTCTCCCACCAGTGGCTGCCCCCTCGTAGTGCTGAGCCCTGTCCTGGCTGGGCTCCATCTCTGCCCTCCTCCAACACAGCTGTTTGACTCCCCAGGTGTTTCAGAGAAGCTCTGCCTCCCCTTTTCTCCCCACGCTCCGTTACGATCCTCTCGCGGCTGCCGTCTCCCCTGGGCACGCAGACATGTGGCCCAATGGAGCCTCCGTTGCAGCCGAAGGATGGAAGGTAACATCCCTCCTCCTGCAGATCTCCTCCTGGCTGGCTGCACTTAACCACCGCCTCTCCCATCTCTTAACTCACTTCTTCCTTATCCGGTTTAACCAACTAATGGCTTCTCTTCACTCCTCTGCTCACTGCCACTGCACGTGCGGCACTGATGCAGCACCGACCGAGCACCAATGTGACACCGGGCTGCAGCCCTGGGGCAGAGGTTGGGGGAGGAATCACTGCTCTGATGGCACTGAATGGGGCTGCAGATGGTGATGCACAGCACTGCAGGAGGGAGGGGAGGGGATGCTGGGAGCCCTGGGCTGCATCTCACCTCTTTTTGTTCAGCAGGGCATCAGTCATGGGATGAAACAGAGCAGTGGGGATGGGATGGAGCAGAGCAACAGGGATGGAGCAGAGCAGTGGGGATGGGATGGAGCAAAGCAACAGGGATGGAGCAGAGCAGCGGGGATGGAGCAAAGCAATGGGGGTGGGATGGAGCAGAGCAATGGAGGTGGGATGGAGCAGAGCAGCAGAGATGGAGGAGCAAAGCAATGGGGGTGGGATGGAGCAGAGCAGTGGGGATGGAGCAAAGCAACAGGGGTGGGATGGAGCAGAGCAGTGTGGTTGAGATGGAGCAAAGTTGTGAGGATGGAGGAGAGCAGTGGGAACGGAATGGAACAAAGTGGTGAGGACGGAGCAGAGCAATGGTGTCAGCAGATGGAGCAGAGCAGTGGGGCAGGCGCTGGAGCAGCCCCTGTTCAGGGCAGTGCTGTGCTGTGGAGCAGAGGCCTCGTTGCTGCAGCTGAGGGGAGCAGCTCTCCTGTCAGAGCATTTCTCCTGCAGAGCACGGCCTTCTGCATTCCCCTGGGTGCTGCACAGCTCATTGCACATCCCTGGGACTGTAACAGACAGGTGAGGGGAGGAAGAACAGGCTGTTCCAGGTGACTTCTTGCTGCTCAGGGATTTAAAGGTCTGGCACCCACTGCAGCTCATTTGCAAGGGCTCATCCCTGCCTTCAGATCTGCTGAGAGCAGCACGGGGATGAGCAGCAGAGGGCTGCACTGTGCTCTGACACAACTGTTGTACTGGTGCAAGAGAAATCTCAGCCAGACCACGGCACTCAGGTTCCCATACGCATCAGGGAGGTGCAGCAGCACCAGGTCTGTTTTGCTGAAGACTCCAGCTCACTTGTAGCGTAAACCTCCTCTAAAGTTGCCATGCCCCTGTGTACACCCATGGGGAGTGCTGGAGCCCCTCCCAGGCTGAACAAATCCTTGCAGCGATGCCTGGAGGCACAGCAGGACCCGAAATAACCCGGCTGCTCTTCCCCAAGCAGCTGCCATGCCCCCAGCACGGCATCCCACGCTGCTCCCAGGCCCTTAATCTGTCTGACTTCTCTACCTAGGAGCTGGCAGCCCCAGCAGCCCCGGGGAGCAGGGCTTTCTCCCTCCCGCAGATTGTGCTCACCCACTGGGTGTCTGCACCGCCGTCTCCTGAACCCGAACCCGCAGTGGAACAGCACTGCTCTGAGCACAGGGATCCCGCTGGCCATGGAGGAGCAGGAGGGGAGCGCACAGCCGAGGTGGGGAGGAGAGGTGGAGTGTCAGCCAGCAGCCCCAGCACGTCTCCGTATGCAGCTGGGAGTGCTCCAGCCACAGCCCTGCAGCCCCTGAGCACTGCACCCCGCACACTGGGAAGGACACGCAGGTTCTCCCTGGCACACGGCGAGGTCCCGGCTGTCCCGAAGCACAGAGCGAGCTGGCCGGCAGGAGGAGCAAGTGGAAACCCTGCTCCAAGCTCTGCCAGAAGGCACGAAGGCAGCAGCAAGGTTTCTCCTCGGTGCACTTTGGCTCCTTGTCTCCAAGGGATGGTCATGGCACTGCCCCCTGGTGAAGGGCACAGCATCGCCCCGCAGCTCCCTGCTGATGCAGAGCCCAGAGATGGAGCTGGGCAGGATGCATCCCTCCCTCCTGGATGTGCACGGAGGGAGCAGCACGGCAGCACACCGGTGTCAAGAGCCAGGTGCCCCCCAGGCCTGCAGGGCAGCAGATGGAGCCAGGCTGGGCACCAGCCATGCGTGGCAGTGCAGGATCGGAGCTCTGCTGGGGCTGAAGCGGGGGGGATGGCAGCTGGGGGGTTCCACAGCCCCACTCCTCAGGGAAGGAGCGAAGCAGAGGGGTCCCCCCTGCACAGCATGTCACCACGCAGCAGGGAGATTTGTGAAGGTGCCTACCAGAGACTGGATAGCCTGGAAGAAACCATCCGTGAGCTGGAGATGACCATCAGCGAGATCAGCAACCACCGCTCGGCTGAGGCTGCGTTCCCTGCAGGACTGCTGGGACAGGCAGCAGCCAGGGATACCAGCCAGGAGTCTGAGGATGGTGTGGGGCACAGTGAGCACTGTGACGATGGCACTGCGCTGGATCTCAGCCAGACCAAAGCTGATGCTGCCAAGAGTCCAGCCTTGAGCCACACCAAACCGCCTCTGCTTCCCAAGCCGCAGCTCGGCTCGCCTCAGGTTTATTTCCTGTTACTCCTCTTGCCGTGCTCTGCCCTCGGATCTGCTCTGATGTCTGCTCTTCCTCCACCTCCACCTGCTCCCTCTCTGTGACTTTACCTCCAGGCAGAGCTGAGGTGCGGCACCCATCTCCTTTTGGAGCTGATGCGTAAAGGCAGCAGCACCAGCACCCACCTGCCCACTGCCACCTCGCACCTTTCCGGCTGTGCACCAGCTCTGGATCCCACCCTGGTGGCTGCAATGTGCCATGCAGGTGCAATGCTGCGCTCACAGCCTGCAGCTCCATTGTGTCAGGAGCAGCATTTGGCAAAGGAGCCCTCATTTGAGCCACCAGGGGTTGGCTTTGGAGGGGGCCGATCCACCCTCCAGGCGGTGGGTGGCGGAAGGCTCCCATGCTGCTGCTGTTACTGGTTAGGGGGCACGGACCCCCCCTGGGCTGGGGCTGCCACCTCAGACCCTACGAGTGCAACTGCTGTGTGCACATCCCACACCTCAGGGTCCGTCCCGGCTGCTGGGCACCCAAGGAATGAGCTCTGTTGGTTGTGCCCGTGGTGTTGGGTGAGCAGAATGGGAACGCAGCGCTCCTCTCCATCCTGTTTTGCACGAGCACTTTTCCGAGGAGCTGCGGTTACGGTGTGACTGCAGAGCACCAGATGTTTCTCCTAATTAAATCACAGCTCAGGCTCCCCAGCGCCATCCAAATGGGTTTCTGCTGGAATCTGCAGCAGCCACTGGGCTTGCTGAATAACTGGAAAAAGGCTGTGGGGTTGGGGGGGGGGGGAGAAACCACCCCCAGCTGCGCATAAGTCAGCCCTGCTCCTTTATTAACAATCAGTGCTGCTGAATGAATCTCCTTTTTCATTTGCAGCAATTATCTCAGCCCTGTTTCCTGGTAGCACCGGGCCTCTCACTGCAGGAACAGCCCTCTCCGGTGGGTGTAGCTGCAGGTTCTCCTGTGGTCGGGTCCTGGAGCAGAGCCATGGGGTGGATTTATGGCTGTGGCTGGCATGCGTGCTCCCAAAGCAAAGCTGAGAGCAGGGCTGGGCAGAAGGGGCTCTGAGCTCAAATTCGAGCACCAGGCCCACTCCAACGCCTGCCTGGATGTGGGGGGATGCAGGTGGGAGATGGACCCCCTGTGCAATGGCTTCAGGGGTTCCAAAGGAGCACAGAGGGGGTCCCAGAGCACGGGCAAGGAGGACAGGCACTGACATTCCATGCAGACAGCAATGCTTCTGATCTGACCCCAGAAACAACCTGCTGCCTCTGACCTGGTGCAGCCAGAGCATCGTGCGTGTGCTTTTGGGGCAGCACAGCAGTGCCACTTTGGCCACCAGTCCAGGCTGGCACAGGGCAGGTGGGCTTTTGGGGTGCCAATACAGAGCGCTCCTCCTGCTGCTGCTCTTGCAAGTCTTTGTATCTCAGCCCGTGCAACCTGTTAATAAAAAACCTCTGCATTCCCACTGTCGCCGTTTCCACCTGGAATCTGGCTTCCACCTGCCGTCGCCTCCTGTCCTTTTTTTCGGGCTGGGTGCTTTCCTCCTACCCTCCACCCCCCAGTGTTTGCTCCTCACCCCTGTGTACGTGGCAGCAGGGGCTGGCGGTGGGTCCTGCCCCCTCCCTGGGCTCCTGTGGCACACGGAGCTGATGACCCCTCCTCAGCTGCCATGACTGTGGCAGAGCCCTGCAGCCCCGTGGTGCTGGGAGGACTGGGATCCCACAGTGCCTGGCTGCAGGCTTGTGCTGCTGTGGGTTTCCCCCTGTTCCGAGCTTTGTAACCTCCCCAAATTCTCCGTCCCAACAGAGTGGTGGCGTTTCCATCCCGCCCATGAAGATGGTGAACCCGGCATCCAGGCTGAAGCAGAGCCAGCAGGGCAGCCCCGACAAGAGCAAGCACATCAAGCAGAGGATGGAGTACATGAGGATCCAGGGACAGCAGCAGGTAGCCTATCTCTAGAGCAGGTTCCCAGCAGCAGGCTGCCCACTGCCCCTGCTCCCCCTGCACTGTGTGTTATGGGGCGGTGGGCACGGGGTTACTGCAGTGGGATGCTGGGGTGGGGGATGCAGCCCTTTGCTGAGCAGAGGGTGCGGGAGGCACTTCTGTGCCACGCTGGGGGAGCCCAGCACCTGGAGCTGTGCTGAGGAGGGGGTGCTATGGGTGGGGGCTGGAGCCCTGCAGTGCGTCCCCTATGCACCCTGTGCCAGGAGGGGGGTGGGGGGATGGGGTGGGGGCCACAGCAGCTGGAAGAAGAGAGCTGGGGGATGGGACTGTGCCTGTCCTCAGCCCAGCACCGACCCCATCCCCATCCTTGTCACTGGGACCGATTGCAATCTGGGTACCACAGCCCCATCCTGCTCCTTCCTTCCCTCCCTCTCCTGCCCCAGGTCCCAGCACCACCCCTCCCCGCACGCGGGCAGCACCGAGCCTTCCCCCATCCTGTCCTCCTCCCCTCCCTTCTCTGTGTCTCAATCCCTTTCCCTGGGCCTGTCCTTGGCAAAGAACCCCATTTTGCTCGTTCTGTTGGATCCATAAGAGAAAGGAGGGGAAAAAAAAAAATAAGAGAGAAGCCAAACAGCCTTACTCCCAGCTGCCTCCATCTGCAGCCAGGGTGAGCGATGAGGAGGGGGGATTTTATGCAATTGGGGCAAATTGTCTGAACAAAACGGGCCCCTCCCTCCCCATTGGCCCCAGTTGTGCATGAGGGCTCAGCACTGGTGCCATTTGTCACTGCTGTCACCAGGACACGGCCGGGGCAGGGGCACAGCTGCCCTCAATGCGCATTGCAGCCCCTCACCACCTCCTGGCGCTCACAGCCAGGCTCCTCCTGGCAGCTTCATGCAGCTCTCTGCTCCCCAGCAGCCCCCGGCCCCCCAAACCCAAGGCCACACAGCTCTCCATGATGCCACCAAACCCTCAGCCTGGAGGCCAATCTCACCTGGATGGCAGCACCATCACAGCCCCCTCCTCACCAGGACCCCTGGACCCCCTTGGATCCCCACCGTCCTTTGCTCAGCGCCCACCCCCCCCTACTCCAGAGACCCCTTTCCAAGCCCCTTCCCAGTGCCGACCCCCCCGGCCCCCAGCCCACTGCCAGCAGCCACACCGACAGACCCTGCTGCTGGTGAGGCCAAGAGGAGCGACGGCCGGAGGGGTCGGCACTGGAAAGGGGCTTGGAA